ATCTCAAAAATGACAGAATGATCTGTGTTCGTTTCTAAGGCAAACCATTCAATATCATGGTAATCTAAGTCTATGCCCCGACCAGTAACACTCAAAAAGCTGAAGTTGAATGGTTCTATGAAGACCTACAAGGTCTTTCAGAACTAACACCCAAACAAGATGTCCTTTTCATTATAGGGGACTGGGATGCAAGAGTAGGAAGTCAAGAAACACCTGGAGTAACAGGCAAATCTGGCCTTGGAGTATGGAATGAAGCAGGGCAAAGGCTAATAGTTTTGCTAGGAGAATGCACTGGTCATAGCAAACACCCTCTGCCAACAACACAAGAGAAGACTCTGCACACGGACATCACCAAGTTGCTTCCCCTGCCCTGCCTGGCCTTGCCTGCAGAAATCTCAGTACAACGAAGGCCCTGCCGCATGCTTTCCCTTCACTCTGTGTCTGCCTCCTTGACTGTGGCTCCCCCAGCGCAGCGTCTCATCTCCAGCACAACCATGAACAGTGCAGTTTCCTCAATGGCACTCACCCTCTCAGTATCGTCACCCAGTCACGGTCACAAATTAAGACCCGGGCGCAAATCAGAGCTACTGCTCCCACATGGCCAAGTACAACAGCAGCACTTCCATTTCTTCATAATTTTATTCTGCTGAAACATCCTAATATGCAATTTTTGTTGTTCAGTTGCTTAGCTGTGTCCGACTCCTTGCGACCCCATGGGCAGCAGCATGTCCGACTTCCCTGTCTTTTACCCTGTCTTTTATCTCCTGGAGCTTGCTCAAACTCATGTCCATTGAGTCCATGATGCCATCCAACCATTTCGTCCTCTGTCTCCCCCTTCTCCTCCTGCCCTCAGTCTTTCCCAGCATTAGGTTCTTTTCTAAGGAGTTACCTCTTTGCATCTGGTGGTCAAAGTATTGTCTTTTTGATACATACTTAAGATTCACTACTAAAAGCTACTTTATAGGGTTCAGCAGATTTTAGTACTCTTTTTTTTTTTTTTTAGCACTAAGTTAAGAGGTGAAAGTTCAGGTAAGGAATTGTGAAGGTGAAAAGACCTTCTTCTAGGACACAGAAGTCAATGGCTTAGAATTAGGCAACCAGGCCTGGCGGAGAGGAGGTGATATCTGGCAACATTCAGGGTTCAATTTCGTCTGTGTGGCTGGTACAGACGTCCCTACCATTCAAATCTGGCTTCCCCAGTGGCTCAGATGATAAAGAATCCGTCTGCCAGCGCAGGAGACATGGGTTCAATCCCTACATCGGGAAGATCCCCTGTAGAAGAGAATGGCAACCCACTCCAGTATTCTTGCCTGGAGAATTCTATGGACAGAGGACCTGGCAGGCTACAGTCCATGGGGTTGTAAAGAGTTGGACACAACTGAGCGACTAACATTTTCCTTGGGAATTAGATGTTGATGAACCACAGAATCAGAACAGTGCCTTTCAGGAGCGATGGTGTGCTAAACACAGAGCTTCTTCCTGCAAGCTGCCACTGCTGCTGCTGCTGCTGTTAAGTCGCTTCAGTCGTGTCCAACTTGGTGCGACCCCATAGATGGCAGCCCACCAGGTTCCCCCATCCCTGCGATTCTCCAGGCAAGAACACTGGAGTGGGGTGCCATTGCCTTCTTCAGCTGCCACTGCTACCCACTGTTAAAATGGAAGAAGGGAAACCTCCTTATCTGACTCCATAGGCATAGCTGCGTAAAATGAAACCCATGCTTTACATAAAAAGAAACCACCCTCATTTATTTTCCTCCTAATGAGCTATGTTCATTCTTCTTCATATTTTTTAGATTTCTTTATTATTTGAAAGACAGCATCTAAATTTTAAACAGTAATTTAAGTGGTAGGAGAAAATATAAAGAAAGACAGGAAGGAGAAGAAGCAGATGAATATTTTTTAAAAAGCAGCTCATAGATCCGAAGGACTTTATGTAATACAGCTAGGTCAGGCAACAGAGTATTTTCACTGTATCAATGGCCAACTTTCAAATAATTTTATGACAAAATGGTAATATCATGGTTCACAGGAATTTTACTATCTATAAATTTGTTCTTTGATGACTGAAAAGCCTTGTCCTAAGACTTGACATATGTTAAGGGTTGAGTTACAACTTACTAAATGTTTTCTTGGCATTTTCTTGGTTTGGGTGAGAGAAGCAGTTTAAGCAAAGACATCTCTTTGAATATAAGGATGGGATCCTTATATATAAAATGGGATCACCCTTCAAAACTTGGCACATGAATTGGTTAGAACCTATGGCGGTTGCATGGATAAACCTTGAAACATTAAAAAAATTTTTAAATTTGGAACTGTAAAAAAATATTCTTTCAATTCAGACGACAGGGATACATAGCGAACAAGATACCCACTCCTCACCCCAGCAAAATCGCCTGGACTTTCAGAACACTGTCTGTCAGGGTATCAGTTGCATTTCAAAGACACAGGCAGGGATGGAATTATGAGTCAAGTCACTCAGGAGAGTGACTGAAAAATACCTAACAGAGTGTACTGTGCTTCCAGTGTCAAATTTAAGGAAGAACAGTTACTCCCCCACACTTTCATCACTCTAAGTAGATTCTGTTTTTATTCTGATGTAACTAGAGCATTAGGACCAGAAAGTTTTCAGTAAAGTTAAACTGGGACGCTTCGACTTTGAACAAGGGATTACATTATTTTCTGAGATATCGTTAGACATGACATCTCTATTGCAGTAAAAAAGAGGAAGGCAGGAACAGGGAGGAGTACGGACTGCTCTGTTTTAACTAGACTTGTAGCAAACCAGAGTTGGGATTTCTTGAAGTTTGTAAAAGGAAGCTTTCTTCCTAATACGACTTGGGATATTGTTGCTTTTGTTCGGCTTCATGATAAATAATGTAATCCAAGTGCTCAGGAAGCACCCACCTCCTTCTGTTTTGAATCATGTGGAGGTGTAAGGCTAGACAGAGCATGAAGCGATTACAGTCCATTCCCTTTGGTGTCAAAAAACAAAAACAAAAACAAAACAACTTTTGACTTAGAAAATGGACTTATGTTTGCCAGGGGAATGGATAGTTAGGGAGTTAGGGATGGACATGTACACACTGCTATATTTAAAATGGATGACCAACAAAGACCTATTGTATAGTACAGGGAATTCTGCTCAATGTTATGCACCAGCCTGAATGGGAGTGGGGCTTGGGGGAGAATGGATACATGTATATGCATGGCTGAGTCCCTTCAATTTTCACCTGAAACTATCACAACATTGTTAATCTGCTACACCCCAATACAAAACAGAAAGTTCAAAGTTAAAAATAAAGGAAAAAATTTCTGCTGCTCTAGTCTGCACCATCAATGCTGACCAGGCTTTTATATGAGAACACTCAGAACGACAATATGTCTCAGAAAGGGGCAGACAGAATCAGGAAGAGGTAACTATGATTCTGGTTAAAGAACTGTGCAAGTTATGACATTTCAAGAGTGAGGTTGAGAGAGCAATAGCATCCAACTGTTAGGAGGAAACTCTTACACTCTAAGCATGGAAACTTAACTTTAGGGCATCTCCTGGAGAAAGCAGGATCACACTGTGGAACAGCAATGATATGGCTTTAAGGTAGAAAAGATTTTCCAGAAGAGAAAGACCACAGTCAAGGTACACCCATGACGATCAAGAACCACTTCTAACAGAAGTTTCTGGTATACCACAGTTTTGCTTTCTTTTAAGTGATCAGCTTAGGCTATAATGTCTACAAATGGTGACGTCTACTGTCAATGCAGGGGCTTCCTAGGTGGTGCTAGTTGTAAAGAATTCACCTGCCAATGCAAGAGATGCCTGGGTCAGCAAGATTCCCTGGAGGAGGAAATGGCAACGCACTGCAGTATTCTTGCCTAGAAACTTCCATGGACAGAGGAGCCTGGCGGGCTACATACAGTCCATGGCATTGCAAAGAGTCAGACATGACTGAGAGATTGAGCACACACGTTGTCAATGCATGAATTAGGAACATATTTTAGAAATCACTTGGCCAAATTGCCTTTAAACCATGTTTAAGATGAGATTTGAGATACACAGTATGTGAGGCACTGGAAACAGTGATGGGAAAATACCTTCAAATTTTCTCTTTGTGATTAAGTTAAGATTAGTATTTGCTCACTTCATAATGAAACTGAGTTTCAGCCACTGAAACCTCCTACAACTAAAAACAAATATGACTATGAAGTTTTTCTAATAAAAATGCTTGATGGATTGATGAACCCACCACCATTGGTCATCATTAACTACTTTTTTTTAAAACTCAAACATCACATACCTTGAATGAATAATAAAGCAAAACTCAAAGCTGTGATTAACTCTCTAGTCTGGTTTTCATCATCTCTTCATTAAAAACATCCACCTCACAGACCAAGAAGCCACCTAAACATACCAGCTTTCAGGCCACTGAGAATGAGTCAGCACATCAGGTTCAAATGGTTATTACAACTATCATCAATATGCACTAGGGGGTTGGAAGTTATACACTGTATTTAACTAGTCTGATCATAGTAAAACTTAAAAAAAAAAAAAAGAATTTTTAGGCTGGGTTTGGAAAAAAAACTTGCTAAATATTTACATCCCATACCCACCTCCCTCTCTTTGTATATTGTCCTGGTATGCTTTCCTGGGATAAATAGATACTGAATTCATAGCAGCTTTTTAATGTCTATCAGTGAATGGACAGTGAGCTCAAATTTACTGATGGGTCTAACATCTAATGCCGATCTGAGTAGAAACAAGACATTTTCTAAATGCTTCACACCCACTGAATTAATAAGACATTGTGTTTCCAAGGGGTTCTCTGCACTATTTTGGTTGTATTCTTAACATTCCAATATGGGTAGAGTTTCAGCTCCCTTTATTCATCCTGTATTGTGTGGGTGTGCACACGCACAAATACATATCCTCAAATCAACTACACTGTTTTCAGGCTTTCTACATCGATGGTACACCTTCTTATATTTTGATATTCATTTATTTAAAATATGCAATTTGCCACATTTGAACTACTGCAGGACACAAAAATACGGCTCTGTTTGCTTCTATGCTCTTCTTGGATAAGACTAACTTAACCCCCCACACTGAACAATGGTTTGACTCCTCCATTTCACAGTGACAGACAAAGCCTAATAAGCATGTTTCCAGCTAGCCCGGACTCTGAGAAATATGCTTCCAGATAACAGGGCAGTGTCCTTCTTCCTATCCACCCACCCAAGCGAGCTGTTCCCGTCTGGAGGAGCAAGACACTTCACTGGGAAGGCAATCTTCTTTCTGGCAAAACCTAAACCACTCGTCAATCATCTTTAGTGTACTGAGCACTGGGGCATCTGTTCCAGAGAGATTTTTTTAGGTTGGTTTCCAACCATGGGATCCATTCAGATTTCAGGCTCACCTTGTACAGAGTCAGATTCCACCTAGCACAGACTTAACTTCTGAGTAGGAGACAACATCTGCCAAGTGTTCCATTCTGGAATCCTATCTACAAGCATCTTACAAAGCATGATGGATGGATGTTAACTTGTCCATGCCTGGCTACCTCATAAAAACTCAAATCCTTCCAGAAACCTTGACAGAAATCAACTGTTTCTCTCCCTGCTATTAACAAGCTCTTGCCAGCTATTCATCTCATGCATGATGATGACTAATATTTGCCTAATGGCAAGCAGGTGCTCCTTCAGAGAGATCATGCCCAGTATGGCCAGTTGAGCCTTCTGCTCCAACGGCACCACCACCAGCATCCACCAGGACCACGCGGGACCACTAGGGTTACTCTGCAAAAGAAAGGAAGACAAAATTAGCACCTCAAGTAGAAGCCTATTCTCAATGTGGTCTCCTGTCCCATCAACATGAGCAAGAATTAAATGCTGCCTTCTCTCTGAGGTCTACCGCACCATTCATGCAGCCCTAAAGCACAAAGCTTACTTTTTAAAAAGCTTTTTATCATTTATTTATTCATTTTTGGCCGGGCTGGGTCTTGCTGGTGTGTGGGCTTTCCTCCTGTTGCACAGACTGGGGGCTACTCTCTGGTTGCAGTGCACAGGCTTCCCATTGCTGCGGCTTCTCTTGTGGAGCATGGGCTCTAGGGTGCACAGGCTTCAGCAGTCGCAGTTTCCAGGCTTTACAGCACAGGCTCAATAGTTGGGGCGCACAGGCTTAGCTGCTCTGTGGCATGTGGGGTCTTACTGGATCGGGGATCGAACCCGTGTCTCCGGCACTGGCAGGCAGAGTCTCTACCGCAGAGCTACCAGAGAAGCCCTGATGAAGCTTACTTGTATGTTACACACTTAAATGGGGGAAATTCACAAAAGGAAGAACCTGCCAAGAGATGCATCTTCCACAGGAAAACGTTTCATGAATTAGTTGTTCTTATTCTCTTAAAGCTCTAGTTCACGATTCTCCTGGTGGTTCAGTGACTAAGACTCCATGCTCCCAATACAGGCGACCTGGGTTCAATCCCTGGTCAGGGAACTGGATTCCACATGCCACAACTAATGAGACCAAGCACAGCCAAATTAATAATAATAAAGCTCTAGTTCAAAGTCTATGGCCCATTAGAAGAAGCAATCATAATTTTTATCTCTACTTTCCAATGTTCTGTTAGTTTTTTAAACATGCTCTACAAAGCAAAATGTTTATAAAGAAACACTGTAGGTACAAATTTGACTGTTATAAATCTTACAATAAAGTCAATGAGACAAATATACATATATATGAAATAGCTATATATATATATGAGTTACTGTTAAATATATATATATATGTGTGGTATCATGGTTTAGTTGCTAAGTCGTGTCTGACTCTTGTGACTCTTGTGCCCACCAGACTCCTCTGTTCATGGACTTTTCCAGATAAGAATACTGCAATGGTTAGCCATTTCCTTCTCAGGGGATCTTCCTGACCCAGGGATCAAACCCAGGTCTCCTGTATTGTGGGCGTATTCTTTTACCAACTGAGCCACCAGGGAAGCCCATTTAATGAGTTACTATTAAATATATATATGAATTATTATGCCACCTGATAGCCTTTATTTCATAGCCAAACAGGCACTTCTGGATTGAGCTCTGAGCAAAAGGTAACTACAGAGTTGTTTTCAATATTCCTGGAACTGAAACCAACATACCCAGGTCTCTCTGCTTCTCCTCCATCCCCACTCCAGAAGCAAGCAGAATCCAAACTGGAAACCGGGGAGGGTGGCTCTGGGCTCACCTTAGCTCAGGGTAAGAGATGAAGAATGACACCAAGGTAAAAGTGGGCAGCCCAGGTCACCGTGCAGAAGGCACCCATCTCCCCTCCAAGGGAAGACGGCACAGCTGTTGGACAAAACACCATACTCTCTTCCCTCCTCACTTTACAGAGTGGGGAGAAACTGAGCAGCAGGCTTAGTGGGAAAGCCTCAGCATAAAGGGGCCTCCCTGGTCACTCAGATGGTGAAGAATCCGCCTGCAATGGAAGAGACCCAGGTTCGATCCCTGGGTAGGGATGATTCCCCTGGAGAAGTGAATGGTTACCCACTTCAGTATTCTTGCCTAGAGAATCTCATGGACAGAGGAGCCTGGCGGGCTACAGTCCATGGGGATGCGAGGAGTTGGACACAACTGAGTGACTAACACTTTCACTTTCAGCATCAAAATACCTCCCACATAGGACCTAAAATCCTCCACAGTGGGAAGACAGGCAGTCTCCCAAAGGTGTTCACCTTTTGGTTCCCGAAGCCCGTGACTAGGCAGCTTACACGGCAGCAGGGACCCTGCAGATATGAGTGAGTCAGGGACCTGGAGAGGTGCAGAGATGATGCTGAATTGTTCCTGGCGGGTTCAACCTCATCACAAAGTCCTTCTAGCAGAGAGCTTCTCTGGGCTGTGGTCAGAGGGGGGTGTGAATTATGGAAGAAGGGTCAGAGGTCAACACTGCTGGCCTGGAGGAAGGAAGGGGCCAGAGCCAAGGAACTGTAACCTGTCAAGCCCAGAGAAGGGGAGGAAACCGACTCCCTTTCAAAGCCTCCAGCAAAGAATCAAGTCTTGCCGTCACTTTGATCACAGCCTGGAGAGACCTGTGAGCGATTTCTAACCCCAAACTGTACAATAATAAATTTCTGTTGTTTTTAAGCCAGAACAATCATGCAGAGTGTTACAATTAGAGAAAAATTTGGGTTAATAAGCAAAAACACCTAGAAAAAAAGGATAATTCATACTGTCATCAAGCTAGCCTAACCACCTTGCTTTCTGAATCTGAGCTACAAAATAGAGAAGGCGCAGAGATTATAATAGAGCAGAGGGTGAGGAATGCCTGAGAGTGATTTTTGACCGAAAGCATTTTCCTGGGTTTGGAAAGGACAGAATTCACATGACAGTAAAAGATACAAGCCACCAAGAGACACGAAAAGAAAGGAAAATTGATGGAAGCAATACCAAAGACACTTCATCTGACCCTAAGCCTGCTGAGACCTGGCCCTGTCCCCTTCCCTGTCTCCAGGACAGGTAAGTGGGCGCAGCCGGGGGAGCTACAGGCTCTCAGTCACAAGCTCGCACCATCCCCTCCTGGCTCTGTCGTTCAAATGTAGGGGAGACGAGCTATTTGCACTTAGCAATGCTTCACAGACCTGAAGACTGTTCATCACTGAAACACAACGGAATATTAATCATCCATAAGAGGTACAAAACTGGGTCATTTGGAGTGATGTGGCTGAACCTAGAGTCTATCATACAGAGTGAAGTCAGTCAGAAAGAGAAAAACAAATACCGTATATTAACACATGTACATGGAACCTAGAAAGATGGTACTGATGGACCTATTTGCAGGGCAGGGATAGAGGAGCAGACGTAGAGAACAGAATTGTGGACACAGAGCGGGAAGGAGAGGGAGGGACAAACTGAGACAGTAGCATTGAAATATACCCACTACTATGTGTAAAAATAGGTAGCTAGTGGGAATGTGATATAACACAGGCACTCAGCTAGATGATCTGCAATGACCTAGAGGGGTGGGATGCCGGGGGAGAGGAAGGAGATGTATGTATACACGTGGCCAACTCACTTTGTTGTACAACAGAAACTAGCATAACATTATAAAGCAACTATACTCCAATAAAAACAAAATCCTATGATAAACCATAACGGAAAAGAACACTAATAAAAGAATGTATACATAGGTATAGCTAAATCACTTTGCTGTGTAACAGAAATTAACAACACTGTGAATCAACTATACTTCAATAAAAATAAATAAATAAGAAAAAAAAAAGCCAGCATCACTGAAGCATGCCTGGGAGCAGAGAGAAAGCCTGTGAAGATGGGACAGAGGACTAGGAAAGCTTCTAAATTAATGACAGAGAATTTTCTCATTTATTCAACACCCGTTCATTAGGGGTAAGGCAGGATTAGGTACAAAAGATGCAGTCTGTCCTGCTGATGGAGGGCAGTTACCAAACCTGCTGATGTTGGTGAGAGAAGTACAAGAGAGGACAGCCAACCAGAGTAAACTGATTTCTGACAGAAAGCAAATTACCTTCACGTAGCATTGATCATTTTTGCTCCACAAGGCACATGCTACTCTACCAGGTGCTTCTCTGGGCTGTTGATACGTGACATGGTTCACAAACGGCTCACGAACGTGCTCCATCACGGACGTGATGGAGCAGGTGGCAGGGCAGGACTGCCACACTCCGCTGTGCTGTGACGTCTCAGCACACGATGGCAGGAGACATCAGCACCGTGAGAGAACGCCGCACGACAGACCTGAGGCTCAGGTTCTCTGTCTGGCATTAACCCAAAGTGGCTTAAAGTCTGCTCTTTCACGGGATCCTGCAGTGAGGCGAGCCAGGACACAGGCTGCTGAAACACTGGGTCGGGCAGCATGCCGAGCTCCTCGTACCCTGGGCCTTCCACCTCATCAAGGAAGAGAGATAGCCTTTTCAGCGATTCATTAGGACAATTACGTGTCCATCACACAGTGACCAAGGCCACGTCTGCTGAGCACATTCCCCGTATTCATCACTTCAGTAATTCATTAGCCTTTCATAAACGGACAGGTGGCGCTGTTGGTGAAGAATCTGCCTGCCAATGTAGGAGATGTGGGTTCCATTCCTGGGTCGGCAAGATCCCCTAGAGAAGGAAATGGCAACCCACTCCAGTGTTCTTGCCTGGGAAATCCCATGGACAGACGGGCCTGGCGGGCTACAGTCCATGGGGTGCAGAGATGGGACAGGACTGAGCGCACACACATGGGTACACAAGCTCCATGCAGAATCCTGCACTCTTACACAGTGGGGCTCAATCTACCCCATTTCCATCAGCAACACCCAGATGTTTCTCCTAATATCTCAATATAAAGATGTATCTGATGTTATTAGGAATCATTTTTAATGGCTACATGCAATCCTACATCTGAAATATACCACAATTTATTCAACCATTCACATAAGGTGTATTTTATTAATAAGATAACACAAATAATATTAAGTAATTATGCAAACTGGTTTTTTTCATATGTGCATGAAAAGGGACAATCATTGCCTCAGGATAGATTCCCAGAAGCAGAATTACCAAGTCAAAGAGTTGTTGTTTAGTTGCTTAGTCGTGTCTGACTCTTTGTGACCCACAGATTATAGCCCACCAGGCTCCTCTGTCTATGGGATTTTCCAAGCAAGAATACTGGAGTGGGTTGCCATTTCCTTCTCCAGGCGATCTTTCCAATCCAGGAATGGAACCCTTGTCTTCTGCACTGGTAGGCAGATTCTTTACCACTGAGCCACCAGGGGAGTTCAAGTCAGAGTTACAGCAGTTTAAAATCTGTATTCCATGCCCCCAAACTATATTTCAAGAGATATGCTACAGCAACAGTGCACTCACGGCCTAAGCCTGATGCCAGGGGAGATCCTACGGCTTCAGAGGACACACCCTGCTGCCTGGGCCCCTCTCACTGCCCAGCAAGGCTCCATCCTACGTAGGAACACTGAGCAGAAACAGCTCCAGGCAGGGGCCATGGGCCCGGGTTTGTGCTGGCTTCCTCCCTGCCTCTCATGTGGGAATGCTAGCTGGTTGCTCAGTTGCCTTTGGGTAGAACTTCCTCATCTGTAAAATGGGAATAAACCACTAAGGTCCTTCCTGACTGCAAGACTACAGCATTTATGAAACTGGGGTAGACTCTGGAACTATATTATAACATACAACCATTCTTAATTTGATTAAAAAGCAAAGATATCATTTTTCCAACAAAGATCTGTATAGTCAAAGCTATGGTTTTTCCAGTAGTCATGTACAGATGTGAGAGTTGGACCATAAAGAAGGCTGAACACCAAAGAATTGGTGCTTTCAAACTGTGGAGTTGGAGAAGAGTCCCCTGGACAGCAAGATCAAACCAGTCAATCCTAAAGGAAATCAACCCTGAATACTGTTTGAAGAACTCATGCTAAAGCTTAAGTTCCAATACTTTGGCACCTGATATGAAGAGCCAACTCATTGAAAAAGACCCTGATGCTGGGAAAGATTGAAGGCAGGAGGAGAAGGGGACGACAGAGGATGAGATGGTTGGATGGCATCACTGACTCAATGGACAAAAACTTGGACAACTTCCAGGAGATGGTGAGGGACAGGGAAGACTGGCGTGCTGCAGTCCATGGGGTTGCAAAGAGTCAGACACAACTTAGTGACTAAACAACAACAAAAACAGAAGAGGAACCCGAGAGCCACCACACTCAGTCATCATCTTCAAACCAGCTCCCTGTGCCCCAGACCTTGCCATTCACCTGCATTCTGCCCTCTGGCTCGTGAGGCCCGGTGCCCACAGGTGAGCAGAAAGAGCAGCTGGAGAGGAGACGGAGCTGGCACTGCAGGTGACTACTCACCCTTTCATCTTCCAAGTATTCAATGTCCGCTGTGTTGTAGCCGTCTTTGTGACGGTGGCTCAAAACCCACCCGGAAGCGGCTGATCCCCAAGGCGTCAACAACAGAGCTGCCGTCGGGGAATGTCCTGACATCCTTGACCTCCAGTATGCAGCCGTACTCCGAGATCCTGGTGGGACAGGTGGGAGAGACAGCCGAGAATCAGCAGGTGTGATGTTCAAGGCGAAGGCATGGGAGACGAGACTAGAATGAAAGGTGGAGTCACAACTCAGATGACCCCAGGCTTATACTTCATTGTGTAATAGGAGCCACTAGAGATTACCAACATCATCTTAAGTGGTTCTCCAATAAAAATGAAAATGATGCATTTAATTATAAGTCCCTCCTCTTTTTAATCTTTTGGCTGTACCACCCAGCATGTTCACAATTACATAGTGTTAGTCACTCAGTCCTGTCCAACTCTTTGTGACTCCATGGATTGGACCGCCAGGCTCCTCTGTCCATGGGATTTTCCAGGCAAGAACACTGGGTGAGCAGCTGTTCCCTTCTCAAGGGGAATCTTGCCATCCCAGGGATCAAAACCAGATCTCCACATTGCAGGCAGATTATTTACGATTTGAACCACCAGGGAAGCCTCGCCACACAGCATGTGAGATCCTATTTCCCCAACCAGGAATCAAACCCGTATCCCCTGCATTGGAAGCATGGAGTCTTAACCACTGGGAAGTCCCCAGAACCTTTTCTTTGAATACTGATCATTCTTACCCTGCGTGCTCAGCAGATAAACACATGCCAAAACATTTGGTGCCCATTTCCAAATATCTTCACATCATAAGCCGATAGTGGGGCTCAAAGACGTGGAGCAGGCAGGGCACAGTGGGGAAGGCCATGGTGCATGCAAAGATGGGCACATCTCTGGTCAGACTGCGGGGTAAGAGGAATGTTAACTAGATGTGGGAGCTGTCAGACACGGAAGGGCATGACAACCGTGGTTCCCTTAGTGACAAAACCCTCAGGCTTGCCTAGGCCTTCGGTGGGAGAAGAAAGTCAACAGTCACAGCATGAGAAAGTTCTCAGCAAGCCCTCTTATTTAATCTGATGAGAGAACATGCTTAAGATCACTATGAACACATTCTCATGACCTTGAGGGCGCAGTGCTAAGTGACGTAAGTCAGACAGAGAAAGACAGAAACTATATGATCTCATTTATGTATGGCATCTAAAAACAAACAAAACCAAGTTCATAGATATAGAGGACAGGCAGGGTTACCAGTAGTGGGTGTGTGTGTCTGTGTATATCTGTGTATGTATATATGTCTGTCTGTGTGTGTATCTGTGTGTGAAATCCGTGAAGGGGGTCAAAAAGCACAAAGTTCCAGTTATAAAATAAACAAGTGCTGGAGATGCAATGCACAGCATGGTGACCATAGTTAATACTACTGTATTGCATATTTAAAAGTTGCTAAGAGAATAAACCTTAAAAAGCTCTTATCACAATAAAAATATTGTAACTTTGGAGACAGATGTTAACTTAGATTTACTATGGTGATCATTTCACCATATACACAAATATCAACTCACTCTCTTGTACACCTAANCTCTTATCACAATAAAAATATTGTAACTTTGGAGACAGATGTTAACTTAGATTTACTATGGTGATCATTTCACCATATACACAAATATCAACTCACTCTCTTGTACACCTAAAACTAGTATAATGTTAAACGTCAGTTACATCACAGGAAAAATAAGAAAAAATTCTGATGAAAGCAAAACTGACAGACATCAAAAGTGATGAATCTACTAATAAATAAAAAAGACTAGAAGAATGATAAGATCTCAACAGTTACAGATCACTACAACACAAAACTTTAATCACTTTAAAAGGAAAAAAACAACTGTCAAACCTATTTTGAGGGGGAAAAAGCCCGTTTTCAAACACCTTCTGTTTTTAATGAACTGTGCCTTTTCAGTTCTGAAAAATTCAGTATTGCTTATTTAGACATAAAAAGCAACTATATATATATATATAATCATATAGTTGCTTTTATATATATGTATATATATAAAAGCAACTATATGATTTTGTCAAAACACACTTTTGGAATATTTCTTACAATCTTCTTCAATTAAATTCCATAAACTCTTTGCAATTAATTTTTTTCTTTTTTGAGGCCAATTTCTCTGCCAAAGAGGGGGTAAAAAACTGAGATAGGGCTGTGAGGTTAGCCAGGATTTTCTTCTTTAACCTCCATGCAGCACGGAGTACCTAGAGCATGAGGGCTTACTGTGACAGCGCTGTCATTTCTTCATCGTAGATTCTCTGTCAGACAGCTCATCTGAGAAATACCGAAATGTTAATTCTTCGACCAGAGCAGTTGTATTAAAATTTCTGCTTGCCAACAACCGCAACAAAACAAAGTTAAATAATACTGCCTGGTATTTAATTCTTTTTTTTTCTTTTTAAGATTTTTCTTTATTATTATTTTTTTTTGACGTGAACCATTTTTAAAGTCTTTATTGAATTTGTAAAAATATTGTTTCTGTTGTATTCCTAGAAGATGGGTGAGATGTGAATTATCATATCAAGAACCTTAAAAATATAAGGAATGCGAGACTATGTTCAAATGTTGAAACAAAAAAGAACTATTATTATTAGAAATACTCTCTTTCTTCTTCAGAACTCCTTATTTCTTCTCCATTTCCTCTAGTATATCTTCCCATCTCGATTCCTAACCTCAGACAGCATTCAGTTCTCAGTCCTGAACTCTCTTTTCTCTTTTACCAACCATAAAGTGAAGTGAAAGTCCGACTCTTTGTGACCCCATGGACTATAAAGTCCATGGAACTCTCCAGGCCAGANGTTCTCCTGGGTCCCCTGACCCTCCTGCTCTCCACCCGGGTGCCCTTTCCCAATAAAATCTCTTGCTTTGTCAGCACGTGTCTCCTCAGACAATTCTTTTCTGAGTGTTAGATAAGAGCCCGCTCTTTGGGCCCTGTAGGGGGCCTCCCCCTTACTACAACACGCGGATAAGTCTTTTCCAGAGAAATACCTACTTCTGAAAGTTTTTCTTTGCACACGGGACAATGCAGGGCGTGGTCCAGGCAGTGCTCCTGGCACTTTAGGCAAAAACGTGTGTCCACAGGGCATAGTCACAGGTTCAAAGAGCAACCTGCAGAAACATCTGGGTTTTCAGCAAGACACATCCACAGTAGACTTTCAAAGAATCTGTTTATACCCATTTTCCATATTTATCTTCCTTATCAGATTTTTAGAAAATAAAGCAATTGTTATTGAGGTGTATGTAATTTCTCTGACAATAGGAGACACAGAGGTAAAGGGCAGACTTTTGGGCTCAGTGGGAGAAGGAAAGGGTGGGATGATTTGAGAGAACAGCATTGAAACATATACATGGTCGATGTAAAACAGACGACCAGTGGAAGTTTGATGCATGAAGCAGGGCACCCAAAGCCGGTGCTCTGTGACAACCTGGAGGAATGAGGTGGGAGGGGGTCGGGAGGGGGTTTCAGGATGGAGGGGACGCAGGTGTACTTACAGCCAACTCATACAGATGTATGGCAAAAACCATCACAATGTTGTAATTATCCTCCAATTAAAACAAATAATTTTTTTTAAAGCCCATTAGGTTTAGGACACAAAATTCAGAAAGGCTGGATTTTTCACAGTAGTGTAGATGCTATGTCACCACACCTCATGCAAAGGGCACACTCAAAGTCAGCCACCTCTATGGGAGCTCTTCACTTTCTCCTGTGTTAGAGTTCACATTTCTTTGGGGTAAGGAGTCTGCCTCTGAAAAAATTTAAATGCCATAATTAACACTTGCACATCTGGGTAAGTTCAGTTCAGTCACTCAGTCGTGTCTGACTCTTTGCGACTCCATGAACTGCAGCACGCCAGACTTCCCTGTCCATCACCAACTCCCAGAGTTCACCCAAACCCATGTGCATCGAANAGTTGGAAAGATCCCCTGGAGAAGGGATAGGCTACCCACTCCAGTATTCTTGGGCTTCCCTTGTGGCTCAGCTGGTCAAGAATCCTCCTGCCATGTGGGAGACCTGATTCGATCCCTGGGTTGGGAAGATCCCCTGGAGAAGGGAAGAGCCACCCACTATAGTATTCTTGCCTGGAGAATTCCATGGACAGAGGAGCCTGGGGGGCTACAGTCCACCGGGTCACAAAGAGTTGGACATGAATGAAGTGACTGAGCACGCGCGCAGGGACACCTTTATTTATTTATTTTTAAAAATATTTATTATTTGGCTGCTTGTGGAGGGGGGCGCACAGAATCTTTGATCTTTGTTGTGGCATGTGGGAACTTTTAGCTGTGGCATACAGGATCTAGTTCCCTGACCAGGGATCGAACCCCGGCCCCTGCGCTGGGAGTGCAGGGTCTTAGCCACTGGACCACCAGGGAAGTCCTGTAGGACACATTTAAATGAGTTTTAAATGTCCTTGACAGTTCCAGGACTCCCAGGTACGCCAAGATCCCTGATGCTGGATGGTATCCCTTACAGAAAACGGTGCAGTGTTTGCGTATAACCTAAGCACACCCTCGCACACACAGGCACAGCCTAGAGGTATCTCGGGGTCAGTTCCAGTCCACCGCGATAAAGTGAACACTGCAATAAACTGAATCATACAAATCGCTTTTGGTTTCTCAGTGCAGATAAAACTTATCTTTGGGCTTCCCTGGCGGCTCAGGGTTAAAGAATCTGCCTGTCAATGCAGGAGGCATGAGTTCGATCACTGACCTGGGAAGATCCCACATGCCAAGGAAAAACCAAGCCTGTGCACCAGGACGACTACTGAGCCCGGAGCCGCGACAACGGAGCCCGGAGCCACGACTACTGAAGCCGGAGCACCTAGAGCCCGTGCTCTGCCACAAGAGGAGCCACCACAGTGAGCAGTCTGAGCACTGCGACTAGAGAAGCCCTCACTCTCCACAACTAGAGGGAGCCCTCGGGCAGCAACAAGGACCCAGCACAGACAAAAATAAATAAAGTTTAAAAAAACCTTAGGTTTACGCTATACTGTGGTCCACTAAGTGTGCAGTAGCATTATGCTTAAAAAAAAACAATGCACATATGTTAATTAAAAATAGTGTTAGTCGCTCAGCCGTGTCTGGCTCTTTGTGACCCCATGGACTATAGCCTGACAGGCTCCTCTGTCCATGATATTCTCCAGGCAAGAATACTGGAGTGGGTAACCATTCCCTTCTCCAGGAGATCTTCTAAATCCAGGGATCGAAGCTTGGTCTCCTGCTGAGCCACCAGGGAAGCCCTAATTAAAAATAATTTATTGCTAAATGGGATAACCATTTCCTGACAACACAGGTTTGCCACAAACCGTCAATCCGTTAAAAAAATCATCATCATCATCATCTGCAAAGTACAATAAATGAGGCGTGCCTATACCTTAAATCATCTCCAGATTACTAATAATACTCATAGCAATATATGTAAATGTTATGTAAATAGTTGCTACACAGGGTAAAAGCAAGTTTTACTTTTTGGCACTTTCTGAAATTTTTTTCCCAAATATTTTTGATCCGTGGTTGGTTGAATTCACATGTACTGAAGCCTGAATGTATATAGCCATCAGTTATCTATAAAGCATGAATAAAAGTTAAAAGTTATACCTAAATTTCTCTGTGTCTTTTGGCTATGAAGTCTTTATAGAAGTAACCACTGAAACTGGCCTATCGTCTGAAAGGTGATATATATTCATTTCATTATTCATCTTAAACTGCCTGTATAAAAATTTGTTTAAGTATATTAAGCATCAGCCAGCCGTCTGTCACTCTACAGTCACATACTCCATGACAAACAGCCTACTAACCTTTCTTGGAAAATTTCCCAGTGGCATTCACATCATGTGCATCCTGAGTCATTTGGAAACTGTCTCTTTAAACTACTGCTGGGCTCTGTTGGAAGGATGTTGTCTAACACCTCCTGATCCTCTTCACAGTGTAAGCCCAGTATGAAATGGGAGGAACTTACACTGAGGAACTGCTATTTCTAAACACATCAGGTTTCTCAGATGGAGTCTGATAAAGTAGGAAAAAAGAATCCTGAATATTAGCATAAGAAAAAAAGTTCAGGCAATAGCCTTTCTTGGGAATCTTTAGAAAAAAAGAAGGCTTACACTCTTCCTTCATAATGGGTTTCATCTATTAACTGTTGAGATGAACTGTACAGTTTCCATGGTAAAATATAAGGATAATTTCTTCCTGAGAGAGCAACTGAACACCAGTATTCATATATTTAAATTATCCCTGTGCTTTCTTTTCTCTAAGACAAAATAATTTCAAGTCTCCTGAGGTTTGGGGTGTTTTGGAATGTTTTAGAAGTTTCTTTCAATCTTCAGCAAATTTTTTAGATAATATTGACAAATACGTGCACTTCCCACCTTAGGCCTTCCTGCACTGCCACCGTCCTCCACAGGACCCTGGCTATTCACATGCTCTGACAGCGAGCCTTTAATCTCGTGTTCAACAGTACGTTTGGGTGGAAGATGTTAAATTCTGAGGCACATTTTCTGAAGCTGGGCAAAACACCTCACACAGTACCTACAAAATTGCCAAGAGGAAAAAAGCATTTTTTAAAACACTTTTGAAAAATACATAACACACCTAAACGATCCAGAGGAAATGTAAAAATAAGAACTCATGGTCACTGGAAATGCTAAGACTGTGTAACTACCATATAAGCTTTCTTAACAGGGTAGGTCCTTACACCAAGTGACTTGATGACCTCTGATAAGATTAAGCTAAAGATCTGCATAAAAGAGCAGGTATTTCTGCATCTTGTTGGTGAAGCTTTGCTGAAAATTTCAAGATGAATTGATATATTTTGCATATATCACAATGTCTTTTATGTGGCTCCTGCACAAACTATAACATTTGAATTACAAACCCTAGGATAAATCACCTTGCATCCCCAGCGTCACACATTAACCTTGTCTCACTGATATCTGTCATTCGTTCAGCAGAGGTGAGATATATGTGCCCTGACTCGTGAGAGGTGCTGCATTATTCATGGATGAAGGTTATCAAATGCGTGAACTCATCATTATCACTGTGCATTTTAAATCACACTGTCATGAATATTCAGAGCTACATTTCTCACTTATTTTACACAAAGGAGCTACTCAGCATGAACACAAAGGCAGAAGGTAAGACTCAAAGAAGCAAGTCATTGAAGGGGAATCACACCTTCTGGGCTTCTTTCTTCACTGAGTTACATTCAGGATTTAGAGCAAGGCAATAGAGAAACTCCTTCAACGTCTCCTTACTTCTTCCCAGGCCAGAGAGAGCCTGGGCTTTTGGATGCCCCTGGATGCATCCAAAGACAAACATCTGAAAAAAACAGTGTAATGATACACTTGCGTACAAACAGCCCTGAAAAAAATCACTGGAACTGTTTTATTTTCATATCAAATAAAATAAACACAAGCCCACGGAGGATGGCTTCAGATCGACCACGTTATACAGCGGGCAAACCTGAATGTCCCACAAGTTTGATCCACGATCAGAACACCAGAGTCCGCACGTGGAGTCTGATCCCAAAGCAGGTGCAAGGGACTGGCTAAGAGAGAATGGGATGTCTGGCCCTTTAACTCACTCAGTAATCAGAGGTCACTACCATGTTCCTATCTTCAAGGTGCATATGGTCTTGTGGGAGCAGACAAACACGATAGGAGTAACTATAACAAAGTGTTAACATACAAAGTACCACAACAGAAATGAACAGAACACAACATGGATCAGTATTTCCCAACAGCATTTTGTTTTTGCTTTACGGATGCAATATTTTCTCAAATCACTATATATTGTGGTTTGTTTGTTTGACTAGTTCACGTGTTATATTTCCATTGGAGTCGGTTGTTTCCATCATTTAATCTTTCTCTTCTTGTGCTGTTGAGTTTTTTTCTTGTTGGTCCTCAGTTCTTCGCTCATATTTAAGAAAGATGAACTGCTTTCAGCAGGTTTCCTCTGATACTGAGTCAGTTAGATTCTAGGATGACTGGATGGATGGATGACTGGGTGGATGGATGGATACTGGATAGATGGGTGGATGGATGACTGGATAGATGGATGGATGGATGACTGGATGGATGGATGGATGGATGACTTAGTGGATGACAATATAGATGGGTGGATGGATGACTGGATGGATGGACAACTGGGCAGATGGATGACTGGGTACATGAATGGCTGGGTGGATGAGTGGACAGAAGGATGGATGGATGGATGACTAGATAGATGGATGGATGGATGAATGTCTGACTTGATGGACGGATGGACAGATGGATGGATGGATGGACGAATGACCAGATGAATGGATGGATAGATGGATGACTGGGTGGATGACTGGATAGATGGACCATTGGATGAATGGATGACTGGATGGATTAATGATTGCATGACTGGATGGATGAATGACTAAATAGATGGAAGACTGGATGGATGGATGGATGAATGACTAAATGGATGGAAGACTGGATGGATGGATGGATGGATGGATGGATGGATGGATGGATGGATGACTGAATGGATAGATAAAGGATAGATAGATAAAGGAAAAAGGGAGAACAGGCTACATATTGTCTATTAACCTGGGTTAATGTTTCTTCAGTGTTTCTAAAACAAATGTAATTAGAAAGTAATACAGCAGGAGGTAAAATATCTTAATTATTAAATAGAGAATGCTATAGGTGTTTATCTCATCACAAGTTCTTTAAAACTTTAAAATCTCTTAAGGGGTTTAAAATTCAAAGATTCATGAAAAAAGCTATACCTTTTATTCTTTGGCTTACAAATCTTCTCAAGGACAATTTAAGCTATCATTGTTAGGTCAACCAACCTTAATTTGTATCACAGAGAAAGAGACATTGGAACTTTCCAGCTAAGACACAGAGATTAAAATTATTCCAGAATACATACAAAGTGCACCCTTTTACTAACATTGCCTATATTCACCATGTATATTAGGGCTCTACTGCTGGTCATGATTATTACATGATCTTCCTATTTAAACTGTCATCTTAAACACTTCTTTTAACTCACAAATTTATACAGTTCTATTATTTTGTTTACATGTTTGTTCAGTGCATAAGGCATATTATTCAGTTAATCATCTACTAAGAGTAATCTAAATTAGTGTTTCTTATCTAGATCCAGTTGGAAACTTGGTCTTTCAACTGTGCTGGATTATTATGAAGTGGATTGTGACATTTAGACTACCTATAAACTGAGAGAAATGTACACTGTCTATAGCTGCCTGATCACAATAGTCTTATTTAATAATTTATTAAGAACATTCCATAAATTTACATTTATTATCTCCAAAGCTGACCCATACAAATACCTTAGGCAAGAGAGGTTCATTCTGACAAACTTCACCAGCATCCTGCAGAGCCTGCTCACAGTTCATGGATAAATATAATTCTGCTTGCAGCAGCAATAATGAATTATCACCAGGAGCTGAAAGACATTAGGGATGGAAATAAACAAATATGACTGCATTTTAAAAAATTATCTTTAAGTGATTAAAAATATTAAATTAGAAAACAAACATAAAGGTAACCCTACTTTGTTGGTGGGAATGTAAACAGCCACTGTGGAGAATGGTATGGAGATTCCTTAACAAACCAGGAAGAAAACTACCATGAAAGTGAAAGTGGAAGTCACTCAGTCGTGTCCAACTCTGTGTGACTCCTTGTGATTGTTTTTTTTGTCACTTTCAAGATTTCCTTTTGTGTGAGTACTTATATGAATGTTTATATGATTGTGTGAAAGTCGCTCAGTCGTGTCCGACTCTTAGTGACCTCATGGACTGTATAGTCCATGGAATTCTCCACATCAGAATCCTGGAGTGGGTAGCCTTTCCCTTCTCCAGCTAATCTTCCCAACCCAGGGCTCAAACCGAGGTCTCCTGCGTTGTAGGCGGATTCTTTACCAACTGAGCTATCACAGACAACTAGGAAACTACAGTTCATAAAGACATGTGTAGAACCCTGGTGGTCCAGGGGCTGAGACTCCAAGCTCCCAATGCAGGGGGCCCAGGTTCCATCCCTGGCCTGGGAACCAGATCACATGCCACAACTTAAAAAAAAAAAAAAAAAAAAGATCCCACATGCTGCAAGGAAGATTGAAGATCGCACATGCTACAACTAAGACCCAGCACAAATAAATTTTTTAAAAAAGACATATGTATCCCAATGTTCTCTGTAGCACTATTCACAATCGCCAGGACATGGAAGTAATCTAGATGTTCACTGACAGATGAATGGATAAAGAAGTTGTGGCACATATATACAATGAAATATTACTCAGCCATAAAAAGGAATGAATTTGACTCAGTTGTAGTGAGGTGGATAAACCTAGAGCCTGTTATACAGAGTAAAGAAAGTCAGAAAGAGAAAAACAAATATATTAATGCATATATATGGAATCTAGAAAAATAGTACTGATGAACCTATTTACAGAGAAGAAATGGAGATATAGATGTAGAGAATGGACTTGTGGACACAGTAGGGAAAAGAGGGGCTAGGAGAAATTGAGAAAAAAGCATTGACATATATACAATATCATATGAAAAACAAATAACTAGCAGGAAACTGCTGTGTAACACAGGAGCCCAGCCTGGCATTCCGTGATGACCTAGAGGGGTGGGATGGAGGCAGGAGGCTCAAGACAGAGGGAACATTTTTATAATTATGACTGGTTTGCACCGATGTATTGCAGAAGCCATCACAATATTGTAAAGAAATTGTCCTCCAATTTAAAAAAAGGTAAAATAAATAACTTCCTCTCAAATCATATGTAGAGTTTCATAGTTTGGTAAGTATATTTTACACAGTTTCTCTCAGGCAATCAGAAAAGAGAATGAGTGATATCTCAAAATGCATCAAGAAAACAGACTGCTACATACACACTAGCTACAACATAATTTCCACTGAGTAAATGCTGAGCCATCTTAATGTTATAACTAGGCATATAAAAATAAAAGATTCAGAGTAATTTTCTTGAAAGTGCATAAGGAAATTTGTGCTTAAAAACAGAATAGTAAAACATAATTTGTTTTTCTATACAACTGAGTGGGTGCAGATTCATGACCATAATTGTTCTCATAATATGTTCTCTTAAGTGGGAAAAGAAGGAAAAAAAATCTTTTCCCTAGATTCTTCAAACAGAAGAGATCTTGAGAATTACTCATATGCTACTAAGGAGCTAAGTCCAGCTACACAGAAGCCAAGAGAACTAATGGCAGTGTATGGAATTGTTGAGAAGGCAGGGTACCATGGAAACACGACAAAGCCAGAGCTCACGAAAGCAGAACCATTACAGCTATATCTTATGCTGCTGGACATAATTCACTCCACCCATACTTATGGTAGGATCTCTGAAACAGGGTTGAAGTGTGCCTTTTAGTTGATCGATAAATATTCGGGGCACCTAAGATGTGTTCGCATCTCTCTACTTCACACATGTTTTCAGCTTGCTCAAAATCCTTGAGCTTGACTTTTTCCTCAAAGTAAGTACTTGGTGCTTTCCAAACCCTACTCTATATCTTCTTAGTTTACACAGTTAACTGGGAAAACACGCATAAAAGAACTCATGCAAAAAGATAACTGTATCAAGACATGGTGAGCAGGCATTGCTCATAAATGTGTTATTGCTACAAGTGTACAATATAGAGAAGGGTATGACAGGGGCAAAAGGGGGCAAGGGGAAAGGGACAGCAGGAATGGAAAGCCAAACAAGAAAAAGCTGAATTTTTAAAAAAGACATTGACTAGCTACAATAGAGATCAGCAACTTTTTTTTTTCTGTAAAAGGCCAGGTATTAAATACTTTAGGCTTTGGAGGACAAGAGGTCAACTCGAGGAAATGCAGGTATTTATATAACAAGGGAGAAAACAAATTTTTATAACTTATTTGATAACAAAATTCAAAATATTTTTGTAATATAGGTCCACGGGGTCACAAAGAGTCAGACATGACTTGAGCACACACGTACACAATTAGAAAAATGCAGTTCTCTTCCAGAAGGTAAAATTTTCTCAATTCAGGTTCAGAGTTAGTGTCCCCTGTCATAAAAATCAACTGAAAATGTTCACCACCTGATCTATAGTGAAATTTTACATATTCATCTTTGAAAATGCTCACAGGTACTATGCAATACTGATGTCAGTCCACAAATGTGATTTTACTTAAAAATTTTTTTTTGACATGGACCATCTTTAAAGCCTTCATTGAATTTGTTACAATACTGCTTCTATTTTATATGTTGTTTTTTGGCCACCAAAAAACTACGTGGGTAGTTCCCCCACCAGGTATTGAACCCAAAGCCCCTGAATTGGAAATGTGGAGTCTTAACCATTGGACTACCAGGGAAGTCCCACACATGTAATTTTTAGTTGAGTATTTCACTGCCTGGAAGGTGTTCATAGAATTCTATTATATTCATCTCATGATATTAGCCTCTGTAGTCAATCTATACTGAACATAATTGCAGATTAATCCTTTCCAATCCAATACCAGGTTAAAGTGCCTCAAGGGCACAGTTAAATGCATTTTGAAACACAGAAATCTTTAGAGATTTTTGGAAATATAAAAAAAAAACAAAAAAAAAAAAGAGAGAGAGAGGGAGAGAGAAAGAAAATGCTGCTGGAAATATATTCTGAGCTTGGGAAATATACCTACTGAAAATCTCCATGAAAATGGACATTTCCATCTTGTTCCCACTTTGTTACAAGTTGATTCTCTGGAATGCTCTAAATAATCACACCTGATTTAAAAAATAGGGGACTCTTGCATTCTAGTATTTGTACTGTTTCCTTTGACCCAGCAACAGTGGTGATAGTGAACATTTTTCTCTTATTCTTGAATTTTTAAAAAAAAGTGTCTGATGTTTTAACATGAAGTATGTTTGCTAAAATCTTCTGAGAGACAATATTTATCAAATTAGGTTAAGCTGCCTCTTATCCCTAGTTTCTTATAAGGGCATTATAACATGAGGGTATGTTACATGTAGTATGTCTCTCCCCTGTTATTACAGTGCATCACACTGAATGGTTTATCTAACGTTGAATTACCCTTACATTTCAGGGATAAGCCTTTCCTCTTGACCTTAACTCTTACTTCATAGCTGGATTCAAAATACTAAGAAGTTTAATTAAAGTTTGGGCATCTATGTACCTATGTAATGTGATGGCGATGGTTTAGTCGCTAAGTCCTGTCTAACTCTGCGACCTCAGGGACTGTAGCCTGCCACACTCCTCCTTCCATGGGGTTTTCCAGGCAAAAATACCGGAGTGGGCTGCCATTTCCTCCTCCAGGGGGTATATAACCATCTGAAAAGCTAATTACACCGTAAGAACACCTAACGGCCTTTGAGAGAGGAGGGAGGTCAGAGCCTAACTGCAGTGTAAGAGAATCCTTCCTGGATTCACTAGCTGAATCCCCAAAGCAGACCCGGCCCCACCACAAGGTTCTCTTCTGCGCCCTGCCCCAGAGCGTGAGCCATCTGCATTTCCCTGCACGACCACCGAAAACCCTTCACTACACCTCCACCCCTTCACTCCTAAGATAGGCTGAAAAAGCAGTCTTGGCCTTACAAGACGGTTCAGCAATGCCGCGGAGGTCCTGGAAAAGACCGCCCGCGGGTGCATCTGGCCTCTGCTCTTCGCCTCACCACCTGCAGAAAGCAAGTTCTCCCGGCCCGGGCCTGCGGCTCAACAGCTGCGCGGGCAGGCGGCCCTGCGCCTGCGCCCACTTAGCCAGGTCCAGGGCTTGGTGACACCCGGCCAGCGCGGCCTCGGGCTGCCGCTGGCGCTGCAGGTTCCGCGCCTGGCCCGCCAGCCTGCGTGCCCGGCAAGCACTTCTCCAGCAGGCCGCTCAGCACCACGTTGACCCGGCGCGCGGGCGGCCGCTCAGGGCCCGGCTCGGCGCCGGCACACGGTGAGCCCGCACGGCAGCGTCACTGGCTTGTGCAGCAGCCGCCGGCAGCGCGGGCAGCCCAGCAGGTCCCGGGGCACCTCCCCGGGGGCGCGGCCCGGGCTTTCCCGCAGTTCGCGCGGGCCCAGGGCGCGCGCCTGGCTGGCCGTCGGTTCCCCCAGCTCGTCCGGCCTAAGCGCCCCCAGGCACTCGGGGAGGCGGCCAGCGCGCCCCCCCAGCCGCAGGTACAGGTCGCGGTCGGGCTGCGCCAGGCCGGCCAGCTTCGAGCGGAAGAGCTCGGCCGCCGTGTCGTACTCGCCCGCGCGGAAGACCTCGTCGCCCTCGTCCACGCGCTGTGCCGGCGGCTCCCCGCAGTCGCCGCCGCGACAGGGTGGCGATCATGACCGCGGGGCTGCGGCGACGGCGAGGCCTGGAGGAGGCTCACTGCCCGGGTCCCGCCGGCGGGAGCGCGACCGCTTCTTTCGCCGAAGGCCAAGCGAGTCTGGGGGCGGCGTTCCACCGCCCGCGGCGGGCGCAGGGCGGAACCGGCACGGCGGGCTTCTGGCAGCTGAGACAGCCCCTCCGGGTGCAGGACCGCGGTGACACCTCCGCGGCCGGAGGCTCCCACAAACCCTCCTGTCCTCGCCCGTGGCGACTCCGCGCGCGTCTTCGTGCGCGCTCGTCTCCACGCGCCCCTCGTCCGCGCGTTCTCTGCACGCCTTCCGCCACTTCTAGGGCCCGCAGCCCCCTCCGCTCTTGTAACAGGTGCCCTCAGCCCGCCCGGCGCTCAGCTCCGCGCGCTGAGTGCCAGCCTGGCTCCGACGCCTGGCCAAGACCACCACCTGCGACTGTGGTTAAAAAGAGAACAGATAAGTACCAAGGGTGTAAGGTGCAACATGGTGACTATGGCTAACGTGGCGTACCATGCACGGGAAAGTTAATAGAGCAAATCCAAGAGTTCTCGGCACAAGGAGAAATTTTGTTTTTCCCTTCTTTCCTTTCCTTTCTTTCTATTGCATCTATAGGAAAAGATGGAGAAGGGAATGGTTACCCACTCCAGTATTCTTGCCCAGGAAATCCAAAGACAGCGGTAGCCTAGAGGGCTGCAGTCCATGGGGTCACAAAGAGTCGGACACGACTGAGGCGACTTAGCCGGCACACAAGATCACATTGTGTTTAAGAGGAACTTAAGGCATCACAGTGGATGTTCCCAATTAGGAGAGGTCAGTCAGGTTACATGGCATGAACATAGCCGGGGTCAGTGGGCTTGACCCCTCCACACAGTCTGGGCAGAGCACTGGTTGAGCACCCTAGGGCCAGATGGGTCATGATGGGTTCCTCAGAAGCCCACCTTCAAGACCATTCTATTGAGTTCCATCACCTCTGCACTGTTTGGGGACCACATGTGGATTATCTATTGATAATGATCAATACATAATTGAGGCTCCAAAGGATCTCTGCTGGTGAGTGCTCAGGGCCAGTCCCAGCTCCTCCCACAACAGCCTGGGCTGGCTGGGCTTTAGGTCTTACCCCCACCCCCATTCTAATGAACTGCTGCCTAACTGTCAACCTAATCAAGGTCACCTGCTGGGGAAATCTGCCCCTCTGATCCAGGTTCCTATTGCACTGGTCACAGTTCTTTTGTCCCTGGATGATCAAGGGCTGACTCGGGTCTGGTTTTCACCATGATGTTTGGTTATCTAAGTTGGCCTCCACTCAGTCACCTGGATAATCAGGAGTAGGCTGTGCTGTGGGGCGGGGGGCACAGCTCCCAGATGTTGCTACTCTAAAGATGCTCTGCCAGCCAGTGGCACTGACATCACCTGGAGTTGATTAGGAAGGAAAGATCTGGGGCCCCACTCAGAAGAGGCACTTTAATAAGAGCTGCAAGTGATAGGACATGCACTGCTCAAGACCCAGCTGTGTCCCTCAGAGGGCAGGGGAGGGGGAGCCACCTTCGGGCATTTACCTCCTCTGGAGTGAAAAGGAGACCAAATGAGCAGCAACCAAATTGGAGGAGTGAAGGAGAATATAGGTACCTGATACTGCCTAATAAACTGATCCCAGCCCTTGATGGACACTGAGTATATTGTTGTTGTTTAGTTGCTCAGTCGTATCCGACTCTTTGCAACGCCATGGACTGCAACCTGCAATGCTGCTCTGTCCATGGGATTTCCCAGGCAAGAATACTGGAGTGGATTGCCATTTTCTTCTCCAGGGGATATTCCTGACCCAGGGATCGAACCTACAGCTCCTGCACTGGCAGGCAGATTTTTTACCACTGAGCCACCTGGGAAGCCTGGGCACTGAGGATGCTTGTTCCTTATTTTCACAGTTAATATTCACACTACTATTATATTGAGAAAACATGGTGCTATTCAAATGAGTTGTTGTTCAGTCGCTCAGTCGTGTCTGACACTTTGCGACCCCGTGGACTGCATCATGCCAGGATTCCCTGTCCTTCACCAACTCCAGGAGCTTGCTCAAACTCATGTCCATTGAGTCTGTGATGCCATCCAAACATCACATCCTCTGTCATCCCCTTCTCCTGCCTTCAGTCTTTCCCAGCATCAGGGTCTTTTTCAATGAGTTGGCTCTTCACGTCAAGTGGCTAAAGTATTGGAGTTTCAGCTTCAGCATCAGTACTTCCAATGAATATTCAGGGTTGATTTCCTTTAGGATTGACTGATTGGATCTCCTTGCTGTCCAAGGGACTCTCAAGCGTCTTCTCCAACACCACAGTTCAAAAGCATCAATTCTTTGGTGCTCAGCCTTCTTTATGGTCCAACTCTCACATGCATACATGACTACTAGAAACGCCATAGCTTTGACTATACTGACCTTTGTTGGCAAAGTAATGCCTCTGCTTTTTAATATGCTGTCTAGGTTTTTCATAGCTTTTCTTCTAAGGAGCAAGCATCTTTTAATTTCATGACTGCAGTCACCATCTGCAGTGATTTTGGTGCCCAAGAAAATAAAGGCTGTCACTGTTTCCCCATCTATTTTCCATGAAGTGACAGGACCGGATGCCATGATCTTAGTTTTTTCAATGTTGAGATTTAAGCCAGCTTTTTCACTCTCCTCTTTCACTTTCATCAAGAGGCTCTTTAGTTCCTCTTCGCTTTCTGTCGTAAGGGTGGTGTCATCTACATATTTGAGGTTATTGGTATTTCTACCTGCAATCTTGATTCCAGCTCAAATGAGTACGACTAAGCACTGGAGCTAAATGATGGGTGTGGAATTCCTTTAGGGTGGTGAAGTGAAACTGTAGGAGACATCAATGTTCCCTGACCCTATATACCAGCCATGGGCAGACAATTTTTAAAAATCAGGCACAGACACTACAGGATTCATGAAGATAAAAATAAACTATTGGAAACTTTCCAGCCATCTGTGACACAGATGCACAGTGAACAGGCGATGGTGTGCCTTTCTGCAGCCCATCAGTCATTTCTTAAAACTTGAAACTTCTTGCTGAAACTTGTTGGTGAAAGCGGAAACAAGCCATCATTAGCGCTAATGGAGTTACTGGCTGACAGGTAATGAGGCTATTGATCAGATAAAAGCTCTGTGGCCTTTTTCCCCCTTGGAACTCCCTGATCCTGAGCGTGTGCAGTATTACAATGGAAATTTCTCTCAACAAGTCCTTTCCACTAAGACCCAATAAATCTTCACAAAGTTGTCCTCAAATACATAATTTAGTTTCATATGTCATCTAACTATGGTTTTCACTGTCCAGAAACATCTGGTGAAAAGACAAGCAAGTAGGCTAAAAAGAAACTCAAGACATAAAACCATCCTACCCATTCTGCATTATCTGTATTCACAGCTCATTTCTTAGGTTCCCTCATATACCTTCCTGCTCTTCACTCTTGGCTGTAAAAGATTGTACCCACCAAGGTCTCCCCAGTGACTATGTTCACTTGTGGGCTCCCACCTATATTTTTAATGACGTTTTCCATCTATACAGGTAAGGCAGAAACAAGATGCTTTGGCTTCCCTGCACAGGACAATTATCTCAGGTGATATGGGTTGAAGCTTGTCACCGAAGTATGTACATAACAGAGTTTTTCCAGTAGTCATATACGTATGTGAGAGTCGGACCATAAAGAAGGCTGAGTGCCAAAGAATTCATGCTTTCATTGATTGTGGTGCTGGAAAAGACTCCTGAGAGTCCCTTGGACTGTATGGAGATCCAACCAGTCAATCCTAAGGAAAATCAACCCTGAATATTCATTGGAATGACTAATACTGAAGCTGAAGCTCTTGGCCACCTGATGCAAAGAGTAGACTCATTGGAAAAGACCTTGATGCTGGGAAAGATTGAAGGCAGGAGAAGAAGGGGACAACAGAGGCCAAGATAGTTAGATGGCATCACTGCCTCAATGGACGTGAATTTGAGCAAACTCCAGGAAATAGAAGAGGACATAGGAGCCTGGCATGCTACAGGCCATGGGGTTGCAGAGAGTCGGACACAATTTAGCAACAACAATGGAAATTTCTGGTCAGTCCCAGTGAGGTAGCTTCTGTCTCCCATAGGCAGCTTACCTAAGCCCGAAACAATCCACTCTTTCCCTTCGTCTGCTTATAACAGCCTTCCATTTTATACAGCTTCTCAAAGCTCCTCTTTGCTTGCTAGAAGGAATGCTGTTCATGAATCATTTAATAAAAACCAATTAGACCTTTAAATTTTACTGTTAAATTGTTAACAATAGGTGTGTACAGACAGACATACATGCACACACACACTTCTGTCGCACCCAAAGCTTTTCCTGCATATCTTGATTTTACTGTTTGCTGAGTATTAAGCAGGAAGAACTTTCTGTAGAATAATTAATTGACCTGCAAGTTCAAGCAGTTGTGGAATAGAAAATTTGATCATGAAAACTTTA